TAGTTGAGTTGGGCCTTGGATTTTGGCCAAGTTAGATAAAGGGTAAAATGGTATTTTACCCTCTTTATGGGCTAAATAGCTTAGACTTTTGGTTATGGGTCAGAATCCGATTAATAGTTGGATGTTATTGATTTTAATAGCGCAGGGATTTTCCGGTCCAGCAGTCAGAGATTCATTCGAGTGATTCAGCAGCTAGAGGTGAGTTTTCTCATTGTGTTTAGCGGGTCGTAGGCACCAATACCGGTCCATGGTTTATTATGTTAGGGTGCTAGATGTTTGTGTGACTCTTGCATGTGTTATATGCTTGTATGTTTACCGGGCAAGGCCCGATGACGGACGGGGCCTTATGACTATCCTGTATGCTATTATCTTTGTGATTATCGCATGTGTTTGTATGATTATACGTTTATATGTTATATGTATACCGGGCGGGGCCCGATGCCAGGCGGGGCCTGATGACTAACAAGTCTGTATACCGAGTGGGGCTCGATGTCGGGCGGGGCTCATTATTTGTTTATTATGTATGGTATGTGGTATTTTGGGGAACTCACTATGTTTTGGGCTTACAATTTTCAATTTATGTTTCAGGTACTTCTAGTTCGAAAGGGAAGAGCCCGAGATGATTGCAGTGCACACACCATTCCGTTCCGCATTTTATGATTACTTTGATGTTTCATGATGTATTTGATACACTTTGTTCTATCTTGGTTTTATGATGATGTTTGGATTACAGTTTTATTAATTTAAATACGAAAATTTTTGGTCTTAATTTTTTGGACGTTACACATCCAGTCCTTATGACCGACTACTCTAAGTAAACCGGAAAAAATGACTTAATAGGGTAATATATTTCTCACTTTATATACATTTAGTCTTTAATATATTTTTTGCACATTTAATTCTTAATATATTTTTGTTTTAAAATAAGTCCTTATTGTTTGTGTACACATTTAATACTTATGACCGGTTTCTTTAGGTTTTTCTCATGGCATCTTACGTTGGACAATCATTAATCAGGCGTTTGGGGATGTTGATACTTATCGTCACTGCGACCTCAACTGCTTGGTTGCTTAGGTGTTGTATTCTGAACTTCGTAACTTCTTCATATGATCTTAGAATCTAACGATCTTTATATCCACACGTTCGTATTTAAGTCTACTACAACTTTCCTTTAGATCGCTCCCATTAAAAATGAATATATTTTTTTACTTATGATCATTATATACATGCGTGTATGTATGAACATTTTTATAATTTCTAAAGTACAAATATATTTCTTTTTAACGAGAGTAATCTATACGAAATTGTAGTAGACTCAATTACGAATGTGTTGATATAAAGATCGCTAAAATATGAGATCGTATGAAGAAGTTACGACGTTCAAAACACAAGACCTAAACACCAAACAATTGAGGTCGTAGTGGCCATAAGCATAAACAACCCCAAACACTTCCTTAATGATTGTCCTATGTAGGATGCCATAAGAAAATACCTAAAGAAATTGTTCATAAGTACCGGGTGTTTATAAAAACAACAATGACTTATTTTGCAATGCAAAAATATCAAGGACTAAATGTGAAAAAAATAATTAAGGACTAAATGTGTACAAAGTGAGAAATATATTACCCAATTAAGTAATTTTTTTCGGCTTACTTGGAGTAGCCGGTCATAAGGACCGAATGTGTACAGTTAAACAATTTGAAGGGGAAAATATGAACGAAAAAAAAACTCAGTGACAAAATGTTTATAAATCGAAAAGTATATTATTCTTTTAAGTCATTATTCCTCTGATTCGTTGTTGAAGGGCCATTGCTGGGTATGACATGAACTACATTGATAAGCGTATGTAGTCAAGATGGGATTTGTCCCTCTGATTCGTTGAGAGTTAGACATCTAAGGCCTTACTAAAAGTTGAACACTAAATGAGATTGATCGCGATCCATATCTCATGTTTCAACATGATGTCTGAGACAAAGGAATAATTGATACCATACCTTTAGTAACAATTGTAGCTTAGAGCTCCTGGAATTGGCTGTTGATGGGATGACACCCTTCATATGTTGTTAGGGGCAGTAGCCCATTGCTAGACGTCAGCTACTGTCTATGTCGGCCTATAATGAATCTTGTGCAAGTGAGAGATTGTTGAATCTATATGCCTAAGTGTAGTGATATGGCTAATAATATATGATCATATAGGGTCACACCTTTATCAAGTTGGCACATTTTGTATATTTATTATTAATGTGATTATTTATAAATAATATCAATTCTTGTATTTTAATTAGGAAATAATTATTGTTTGAGAAAATAATAATTATAACAGAGTATTACTAGTTATTATTTCATATGGTATGAATTAATAATTCATGTACAAACTTTTGGACTAGTTGGATTCTTTTGTCTTTTACCTAAAGACAAAGTTTATATTTTATAAACTTTGAGTTTATAAAATTGAAGAATCTTCCACTTTTATATACTATGGACGAAAATCATAAAGGCATAGGAGGTTGTTTGTCAACCTTTCTTCCTTTGTCCCCCATGCCTCTAAAGTAAGGTGATTACTTTTTATTAATTAATGAGGTTGCTTTTGCTTTTCATGGACTATATAAGAGAGTGCATGAAGCTTGTTTTTGGCTAGTAAAACCCTCTCTTCTTCTTCCTTTATTCTCACCAAAACTGTAAGTAGCAAAGTGCTACTCCTATTGCTTTCTTTTGAAGATCATTGAAGTCCTTAGTTGTTCAAAGTGCTTCTCATTTAGTGCTTATTTGAGTTAAGCACTTAAAGGCTTAATAAGTACTTTATACAAGAAGGAACTAGCATTCCAAGTGCCTTAATATTGATGATGTATACTTGTAGAGAAGATCATGTTCTTTGATCTTTACATCTTCATCAACACCCCAAAACCAAGTGGGTTTAAAGGCTTCAAAGGTTATCTCTAAAATACTCTTTGGTTGTTTTTATTTCATTCTAACCTCTATAAATGAATCCATGATGGTTTGGTTTGTTATGAACTAAAAATAAACTAGTTATTTTTAAAGACTTCCGTTGCCGGTTTTTGTGAAAAACGATCTTATATTTCGTATCAAAACCCTTCAGTCGTCATCGAACGCACTACGACCAAGTATTTGAGTTTAACGTTTGTGCCCTTGACGAAATAGGTGGTGGAGAATTGTCATCACAATCATCACCATTTTTGAGTCCTCACCGGAACTGGACCATATATATATATATATATATATATATATATATATATATATATATATATATATATATATATATATATGTGTGTGTGTGTGTGTGTGTGTGTGTGTGTGTGTGTGTGTGTGTGTGTGTGTGCGCGTGTGTGTGTGTGTGAATTGGTTAAAATATCATGTGTAAATTACACCATTCGTCCCTTGTATAGGTGGCAAAACGTACGTTTAGTCCTTATTTTCAAAAATTAACTCGGACCGTCCTTGAGTTTGTTTTTTCTTGTATGCTTAGCCCCTAATGACATAAAATGATTATATTGTCATTATAATTTCATTTTTAATTTAAATTTATTTATTTATGATTTGTTAAATTAAAAAAAAAGGAAAAAATATTCACACAAAATCCATAACCTCTTCCTTCATTTTCCCTGATTTTATCCCTCTTTCCCACCCGTTCATCTTCCTCTCTAACTCATCTTCCTTTCCGGTGAGGTCATTAAACAATCCACCCTCAATGCATGATGTTGAACAACAATAGCAAAAAAGAGAGAAAAAAAGTTAGTGGCGTTTCAAATCTAGGTTTCAAATGGGAGTTTCATATCTAGTGGAGTTGGTGGTGTTCAGGTTGGTTTCCGGCAAAAAAATCCTCCCTCTTTCTCCTCTAACACTATTGATAAGAGAGAGAAAGACGTTGAGGGAAACAAAATCGATGAGAGGAAGATGAAGAGGAGACCGATGAGATCGGTTTTTCTAGAACTGAAACAAAATCCTCCCTGCCACTGGCATTGTAATCTATGGATTTGCACTCTAAAGATCGTCTCTTCGAACTCTTGTGTGGTGGTGTTGGAGACATGTGGTTTAGAGAAGAAAAAGAAGGAGACGGAGGGGGTCGGCGACTTCTGCTTGGAGAGGAGCGAGACGGTGAAGTCTGGTCAGAGAAGAACGTCGTCTTCCCCATTTTGATTTTTCCCTAATTTTGGATTGTTTGCACAACAATTGGTTTGTTTATGATTTTTTGGGTTTTCCAATAGTGATTATGAAGTGGTGACAAGTGGTGTTCGAAGAGGGGTGGGTTGAGATGAGAGTAGATTTTCGGTGATGGTTGTGCATGTTTCTGGTGGTTGTTGTGCAGGTTTCCGGTGGTGGTGTAGACTTCTGATAATGGTGGTGGTTAAGTGTTCTTCAACAAAAGAGAAAGATCATTTAAAAGTGTTAGGTGGACTCACAACTTTAATTAAAATATTTTTTTTAATAATTAAAAATAATCAGAAATGTTAAAAATAAATGAAAAAGAAATTGAAAAGAAGATTTTACGTCATTTCAAGTCTCAAAGGGATGAATCATACAAATTTAAACTAACGAGATATGAAACGTGCACATTTTTATGATATAAGAAACGGTCCGAATTAATTTTTAAAAATAAAGACTAAACGTATGTTTTGGCACATGTATCAGAGACAGGCTAATGATGTAATTTACCCAAATAAGATAAAGAAGAAAACAAATGACAAGAGAGAATAGATGGAATGCATAATGCTCATTTGATGTTCATTTTGTGTTTTTCCTGATGTAAACGTGTTATCTAGTATATAATAATTAAATTACTAGATTTGAATAAATAGTATATATGTATTTTATAATGAACAAGTTTGTGCTTCAGAAATGCTTCATACCTAACAAAAAATATATATAAAATTATTATGTCAACAGAAGAATTATAAAAATATTATTTATCAATTTTCAAGATTCCTTGATTGACTCGTAGAGATAAATAAATACACTACTTTAGTATATATTCTTTACTGAAACAACTGGGAAGCATGTTCTTTCTTTCTCTGTCTTCTAATTTCTCTCACTTTAATTCTCACTCTCATTTTCCCTCCTATTCCATATCACTATACTGTGTGTTTGTTTCTCGTGGGTGCTGACACAAAGCTTCCATCGCAGTTCCAATTTAATATGGAAAGCAAATGAGAAGCGACTTCCATCATCATCATTTTGGTCTCTTCTTGTTTCAAATTTGACACTTTTTCTTCCATTTCATTCAAAAAAACCTTCTCTTTCCACCATTTTCATTCGATTCAATGGACCTTGAACCTCTTTTCTTCTGTCTGCTGGCTTTGTTTTTTACTTCATGGGCTTCTTCTGCAACTGCTTTGCTTTCTCCCAAAGGTGTCAACTTCGAAGGTACTTGAAACTGTTGTATACCATTCATGAACCCTAAATCTGAAGCTTTCTTGATGATCGAAATCAGTATCATGCAAGTTTTCCATGATCTTTATCACATATATCGTAAAAACTGAATCATTTGATGAATTTGCAGTGCAAGCTTTGATGAACATCAAGAATGGTTTGGAGGATCCGCATAGTGTCTTAAACTGGGATGCAGATGCTGTTGATCCATGCAGCTGGACGATGGTTACTTGCTCTTCAGATAAACTCGTCATTGGGTTGTAAGCATCTTGATCTTCATCTTTCTGGGTGTTTTTCCATTGATGGATTAGTGAATCTTAAGTTAACATAATCTCAATTTTTGTTGAATAAAATTGTAGGGGGTGTCCAAGCCAAAATCTTTCTGGTTTTCTTTCTCCAAGCATCGGTAACTTAACAAACCTCCAAACAGTGTAAGTATTAAGCTCTTTCTTCTGTGTTTTTGGATAAGTGATGTGTTAAAATATGCAAGATAATTACCACAAACATGACAAAATGAAGCAAAAAATTTGTAAAAAGTTTGGATTTTTTTTGTTAAAAAGTGATATCCATACATAGCTTAATTAACATATGAAGGCAATGGATTTAAGTTTCATTTTCCCATGTATGGCATTATTTTCTCAAATAACTCTTAAATATCAGTAAGTAATTCGTACACTTATTGGGACAAAAAGAAACATATTAAGTCCATTAAGTAATAAAAAGAACAACACAACACGTAAAAAAGTGATGTACAATATGAGTTGCTTATGGTACTAGTGCTTAATGCAGGTTGCTACAAAATAATAGAATCTTAGGGCCACTTCCATATGAGCTTGGGAGGTTGCCTAAGCTTCAAACACTTGATCTTTCTAATAACTCGTTCACCGGTGAAATCCCACCTTCTTTAGCTGATATCAAGACCCTCCAGTATTTGTAAGTAGTGAAATTACGTATTTACCCTTCTCTTTTATGATAATCAAATGTAATGATTTTATTTTATTGAACTTTTGGGTTTTGAATTGTAACAGGCGGCTAAATAACAATAGTCTCACAGGACCAATTCCACAGGCTTTGGCTAACTTGACACAGCTCACATTCTTGTAATCACTTTAATAAAAACAACTTTACACTTTAATCTTTTGACTGAACTATCTTTTTCTTTTGGTTTGAATTTACTTAAATGCCCTTTCTTTTACAGGGACTTATCGTTTAATAATGTAAGTGGTCCTGTGCCAAAGTTTCAAGCTAAAACATTCAAGTAAGTTCCATGTCTGTTTTAATTTTCGGGTTCAAGTTTTAATATTAAATTGGGAAATTGTCAGAAAAGTTTTAATATTTTCAGGAAAGTTACACTTTAGCCCCAAGATATTTTTTTTGAACAAAAAAATCCCGATTATTTCATTTTGGCTCAAATTTACAAAAAAGTCATTTTTTTTCTTTTAACAGGAAATGACATATTAGCGTGTTTTTAAAAATAATCAGGACTTTAATGTTCAAAAAAAAATATTGTGACTAAAGTATAACTTTTCTGAAAATATTGGGACTTTTCTGACAATTTCCCTATTAAATTTTTATTGTATTCGTACTACTTATAATAACTTTTGAAAAACTTCATACCAAACTTGATGAGCACATTGGTTATCAAACATGGAAATCATATATTTGACCTCAAAAGTCAACCTTTTACGTTTCAACATTATAACTAATCGTTAATATAAACAGTGTTATGGGAAATCCAATTATATGTGCCACGGGGACAGAGCAAGATTGCAATGGAACATCACCCATGTCAACGTCACTCCCCTTCAATACTCAACAAAGTAAGACTTCATCCCTTTCATAAAAAAACTTGTTTGTACTTATGTATCATATAATAAACATTGTAGTATATATGAAGAAATTATCTGACATCATATTTTTCACATTTTTTTGTAACAAGTAGAGTCGAATCCATCCGTTATGCCAAAAACTCACAAGATGGCTTTAGCCTTCGGGACAAGCCTTGGGTGCTTTTGCTTGCTGTTTTTCGGATTTGGATTTGTTTTTTGGTGGAGGAGACGACACAACCAACAAGTTTTCTTTGATATCAACGGTTAGCATTAATAAAAACTTCTAATTATGTGTTAGAATGGTATAATTGTAGAAAATGTCAATAGTTCGAGTCTCAATAAGTTGATGTTCCAATGTGGATTGAGCTCCTTGTGCACACTGTACTCTTTTCTCATCCTGATCACTGTGTACCTGATTTACATCTCACTCGTAGTTTGGGAGTTTAAGTTCCAATGTGGATTGAGCTCCTTGTATACATTGTACTCTTATGTCATCCAACTAACTGGTCATGGTCACTATGTACCTGATTTACATCTCACGTAATGCGCATGGGTTTATGGATGAATAACTTTTTGCAGTAACGACTAATGACTAACGCATGATAAACTTTATTTTTGTTTTCAGAACAATATCGAGATGAAATATGTTTGGGGAACTTAAGGAGATTCCAATTTCGAGAACTTCAAGTTGCCACGAAAAACTTCACGAGCAAGAACATACTAGGAAAGGGCGGTTTTGGAATTGTGTACAAAGGTGTTCTCTCGGATGGAACCGTTGTAGCCGTTAAGCGGCTTAGAGATGGGAACACAGTTGGTGGTGAGATCCAGTTCCAAACTGAAGTCGAGATGATTAGCCTAGCCGTTCATCGAAACCTACTTAGACTCTACGGTTTTTGCATGACATCATCCGAACGCCTCCTTGTTTACCCCTACATGTCTAACGGGAGTGTCGCTTCTCGTCTCAAAGGTGCATTTTTTTCATTTCAGTTAAAAAATATTTGTTTGTTAACGGTTTAACCTGTTAACAAACAATACTTGTTTATTTAAACTGTTTAACAGTTTAAACAGTCTAATCTGGACCGGTTTAAACACCGGTTGATAACCGGTGATAACCGGTCCAAACAGAGTTCGGTCCATTTTTGGACCTCTAGACTGAGAATCAATCACAAATGTCTCTTGTTACAGTCAAACCGGCTCTAGATTGGGGAACAAGAAAGAGAATAGCATTGGGGGCAGCAAGAGGTTTACTATATTTACACGAGCAATGTGATCCGAAGATAATCCATAGAGATGTGAAGGCTGCAAATATACTATTAGACGATTACTGTGAAGCAGTGGTGGGTGATTTTGGTCTAGCAAAGCTTTTAGACCACCATGATTCCCACGTTACAACCGCCGTTCGAGGAACAGTAGGCCATATAGCTCCGGAGTACCTCTCAACCGGCCAATCGTCGGAAAAAACAGATGTTTTCGGGTTCGGGATTCTCTTACTAGAACTGATAACAGGCGAAAGAGCTTTGGAATTTGGGAAATCGGCAAATCAAAAAGGGGTTATGCTCGATTGGGTTAAGAAAATTCATCACGAGAATAAACTCGATTTGTTGGTGGATAAGGATCTGAAAAGCGATTACGATAGAATAGAGCTTGAAGAAATGGTTCAGGTGGCGTTGTTGTGTACACAGTATCAACCGAACCAACGGCCGAAAATGTCGGAGGTGGCGAGGATGCTTGAAGGCGATGGATTGGCGGAGAAATGGGAGGCGGCGAAGAGAGTTGAATCGAATAGAGGGCGGCCGAATGAGTTCTTGTCGTCGGAGCGGTATTCTGATCTTACAGACGACTTTTCGTTGCTTGGACAGGCAATGGAGCTTTCAGGCCCCCGGTGATACGCGCCTCCCGATTGCAGAGACAGTGAATAAATCGGCGGAGGGATGATCTTCTTATTGTACAGGTGCTGAATTACAGTTCATAAGTCATACTTATCGTTTTTGAGTGAATTTTTTTTTTTTTTTTGGGTTTGTTCCGAGTGTTGATCTTGTAAGAGAAATGCTGTATAATTTTTTGTTGTTCGTATCGAAATGAGTTCTTTGACATGAATAAAATCATGGACCATTTCCAAGTAGAGTAATATCGTCTTTTTTACATTGTCTCTTTCATTATATCAACATAACATTAACCTGTAAATTGAAAATCGTTTCTTCTCCTTTGTTTCTGAAAAAAGCTAACCTTTTAAGACAAAAGTAATCAAATATGAAATTTAATAAACAGAAAAACATAAATAAATGGAATTTATATATTATGGATTGACAATTCAAGATACATACTTAAATGTTAATGTATACAACAGATTTACAACCACAAAAATAAGTAAATTGAGGCCTTGTAGTGTTTTAAGACAGGAATTGCCTTAATATGGACCTGTCTTAAAGATATGACAATCAATTCAAAATAAGATATTAAACAAGTCAAAAATCACCATGCTCCCATTTTGCATCAAAAAATGATTTTAAGAGGAAGTATATGTGTGTTTAATGAACCTCCAAAGTCTGTCCATCTTTATGTATTTATAGGCTTCTAACGATGGTTGTAAAACTAAAAATAATTGCTAAAAACTGTCAAACAATTAATTCAATAAATTAACAGAATTTACTAAATAAAAATTAATTAAATAATTACTTTTGGATTTATAAGAATAAAAACTTAGAGTAAATTACACGAATGGTCCTTATGGTTTAGCGTAATTTACATGTTTGGTCCCTAACTTATTTTTTTAACTCGGAAGGTCCCTACTGTTTGTTTTTGTTACGCGCTTGGTCCCTATCTTAACTAAAAAGACTATTTTGCCCTGATTTTTTAATTTATTAAAAATAAACAGACACCCAACCCCACCCCCTCACCTCACCTTACCTACCCCATAATTTTTCCCTATTTAAATAATAGTCTTTTTAGGTAAGATAGGGACCAAGCACGTAACAAAAACAAATAATAGGGACCAAGCACGTAACAAAAACAAATAGTAGGGACCTCCCGAGTTAAAAAAATAAGTTAGGGACCAAACACACAAATTACCCCAAACTATAGGTACCACTCGTGGCAAGGTGGCTTACAGGCTAGAGCTGCCGGAGGAGCTTAGTCGGATCCACAGCACTTTCCACATTTCGCAACTGCGAAAGTGCATTATGGATCAGGAGGCGGTGGTGTCGCTGGATGATATTCAGGTCGATGAGTGCCTGAATTACGTGGAGAGGCCTGTGGCCATACTGGAGAGAAAGATGAAGATTCTGAGGAACAAGGAGATACCTTTGGTGAAGGTACAGTGGGAGCATCGGAGGGAGCCCGAGTGGACGTGGGAGCCAGAGGCAGAGATGCTCGAGCATTATCCGGGACTGTTCACCGCGGCAAACTTCGAGGACGAAGTCTAGTTCAAGTGGGGGAGAATTATAACGCCCCGATTTTCAGGCATTGAAGTAATATAAGAATTTTCTTGATTTCAAGGGCTACTCGACGAGTTGGTTGCCCTACTCGTCGAGTAGCAGCGGGTTGGTCCACATGTGTTAGTGACCTACTCGCCGAGTCCAAGAAGGGACTCGACGAGTAGGAGCTGGCAGATGAAACCCTAAATTTCGGGGTATTGCACCCTATTTAAATGATCATTGGCCTCCCCCAGCCTCCCCTTTACTTCTTCTTGTCCCTCTCAAACCCTAATCGAGTGTGTGTGCTCTATTTGTGTATTCTTAAGCTTGGAAGAGGATTTTTGGAGAAAAGAGCTTGGAGATCAAGTATCCAGAAGCAAGTAACTTGTGGGATCCGAAATTTATCTTATTTGGCATCTTCTGGAAGGTATCAAATCACTATCCTGACCTCATTTCATTTCTAGATCCCTTTTGGGCAAATTTTAGGGCTTTCCTAGTATGTTTGGAAGCTTTTCTTGTGTATAAGCTAAGATCTGAAGTTGTAACTTCAGATCTGAACTCTCTTGGGCTTCTAAGTCCATAAAGCTTCCAGCTCTTGCAAGGATGAGACTCTCCTAAGGTGTAAAGCTCCATTAGAAGCTTAGATTGGTCATTTAGAGCCTCTAGGGCCTTGCATGCACGTAAAGTTTGCAACTTTACGTGATAAACATGCCTTAGAAGCTTGGATTTGCAATCTAGAACCTTGGCATGGCTTAAAAAGTGTCTGTATGGATGAAGGTCTGAAGGGACTCGGCGAGTTGCATAGTCAACTAGGCGAGCCACATGAAGATGGCCATGTACTCGACGAGTTGGATGAACAACTCGGCGAGTCCGTTGAAGATTGCGTTGAACTCCGTGAGTCAGTCGAAGACTCGGCGAGTCGGCTAGGGTTTCTCTCAACCTTTGGACACGTATGAACTCAACGAGTTATAGGGGAACTCAACGAGTCGACCTAGGATTTCACGACTTCTCGAGTCCAGGAAGAACTCGACGAGTCGGTGAACTGCACTCGACGAGTTAGGTCCACATGGACTGTTGACTTTGACTGTGGACGTGGACTTTGACCAAGGGTTGACCAGTTGACCTCTGGGGTATTTTGGTAATTTGGAAATTTATGAAAAAGGGTTTTATGGTAACTATAGGTGGTGGAGTTCGTGTTGGCGATTCGAGAGTTGAGCCTATCACTTCAGTGCGACATTTGGGAGGTGAGTTATCCTCACTATACTCAAGGGTCTAAGGCACCAAGGTCGGCCCTTTGGATTGTTATCTGGTTATGTATTGTGGTATGATATGTTAGATCGGCATCCTAGAGGGTAGGATAATATTATGTGGTATGTGGTATGGCCTGTTAGAACGGTATCCTAGAGGGTAGGATAATATTATGTGCTATGTGTCATGATTCGCCAAATCAGTAGTTGTCTATAGACTGTTATGTGGTTATCTGTTATGTATGCGTACATGTTTGTTTGGCGGTTGAGGCTGATCTGCTTTGTGCGAAAGCCAATAGACCTGGGCATTCCAACCTGTTGGTTGTGGGTCGTGAGTATTCCATCCCGAGGATGATTGGACTCATAGTACGTGGGCATTCCAACCTGTTGGTTGTGGGCCTGGGGTATTCCATCCCGAGGATGATTGGACCCATAGTATGTTGGCATTCCAACCGGATGTTTGTGTAACATCCCAAATTTCAAGTCCGAAAATTTCATTTTTAATTAAGTAATTCACAACATAGTTTACCAAAACATTTCCCATGCCATGTCATTTGTAAAAAGAAACTTAACAATGTGTCTGAAAATCATATCGTCAAAAGCAAAATAAATCAGAGTACATTCTCAAAAAACTCCATACGGAAACCATGTATGTGTGTGATGCGCTGCTACACCGCCGGCTCCTTCCCCTTAGACGAAGAGGTACCTGAAACCAAAACTGAAACTGTAAGCACAAAGCTTAGTGAGTTCCCCCATCATACCACATACCATACAATCACATAACATACATACTGTCGGGCAATTCTGGGGCGCCCGTCCTACCCATGTCAAGCCATTCTGGGGTGCTGACCTACCCATGTCAAGCCATTCTGGGGTGCTGACCTACCCATGTCGAGCCATTCTGGGGTGCTAACCTACCCATGTCAAGCCATTCTGGGGTGTCGACCTACCCTCCGGTCTTTTAACCGAACACGAGGACTATTTCACCCCCTACTGCTAACACATAATATCATATCTCAATCATGCTGTCAGACATATCTGGGGTGTCCGACCTACCCGTTGGTCCTAATGACCGATTCGGGGACTAGTCCCCTCCTACTGATACTATCTCGCATAACATAGCAAACTAGCTTAGTCACATATCAAGCAAACTAGCATACTCGCATATCAAGCAATAGCAGACCAGAAAATTATCACAAAGACAATCATCTCAGCTAAACAACTACTAGTGGGCCGACCTTGGTGCCTTAGACCCACTTCTACTGGAAGGTAACTCACCTCGATGTCGTGTAGTGTCTGAACTGTCCTCGGCGTGAAGGTCGGCTCTCCTCGACTCCTCAATCCCTACACGACAACCTTCCAAGTCATCAAACAGAACATACAACCCTAACCAGGGTCAACTCAAGTCCAGATAAAGTCAACATTGGTCAAAGTCAACATCCAGTTGACCTAATTCGCCGAGTTGGTCTACCAACTCGTCGAGTCCAGGCTCCACTAACCCGATCCAACCCCGACACCACTCATCGAGTCTAGCGAGTACTCATCGAGTTCTCCTTCATTCAAACCATCGGGACCATCTTCATCCGACTCGCCGAGTTCGAAGAACAACTCGGCGAGTTCATCTCCCTCATAAGAACGTGTCCAGTCTATGACTCGCCGAGTTGTATGAACAACTCGTCGAGTTCATCTTCAAAGGTTGGGAGATTGCCTTGGACTCGCCGAGTCTGATCTTACACTCGTCGAGTCCCATGATTCCTAGGTCCCTTTACGACTCTAAATATTTACGAGACTTCCTTCCCGAACCACTGGTCCATCCACAGAAAGGATTTAGTGGTCATTACCCACCGACTCGCCGAGTTCCAAGAACAACTCGTCGAGTCCCTTCTTGACCCTTACTATACAGTCGATTTAAATGGGTCTTAACACGTCAAAACCATAGATCTGGCCTCCTAATGTCCATTTTTTACGTAAAGTTCCAAACTTGGTGCACATGCATGGGGTTTTTGGCTCAAAATCCATAAAAGGTGCTCTACAATGAGCATGGGGCTCTCATGGCCATAGAGTTGGCACCTTTATGCCATGAGACCCCTCCAATGACTCAGATCTGAAAGTAGAACTCCATGAATCACTTCACAAATCAGAAAATGGCTTAGAAAGCCCTAAATGCACCCAAAATCAAAGCCCTAAAGATGAACAACCAAATGGAAGACCAAAACAGGGGGCATTTACCTTGATTGAACTGAAGATGGAATAAGATCTCTGGATCTACAAGCCCCAACTCGGATTCCCAGGCTTCTTCCTTCCTTTCAAGCTTCACAAACCACCCAAAAGCACCAAAAATGGCCTTAGATCACTCAAAGCGACTAAGGTTT